AACTCACAGAGATCCGCCTGCCTCTGCCTCCCAAGTGCTGGGACTACAGGACACCACGTCCAGCTATTATTATTATTTTTGGTCTTCTCTGTGAGTTCAAGGCCAGCCTGGTCTACATAGTGAGTTCTAGGTGAGCTGGGTCTACAGGGAGACCCTATCTCAAAAAAAACAAAAAAAAAAATAATAATAGTAATAAATAAGGCCAGTCTCAAAACTACCTAAATAGCTAGGTGTGGTGGCACACACCTGTAATCCCAGCACTTTAAAAATCTGATACTCTGTAAATAAGTACACTTATTATGTGTCAAATAAAAATTAAAATATATTAAAAATATGGATGAACATGGAAAGAATACATCACTGAGACCTAAGTGCTTATCAAATATTAGCTAACATTATGTCATTTTTAATGACTTATTTTTATCTTAAAATTTTTTCTAAATTTATTTTTACATGTGAGAGTATTTTGCTGCATGTACGTAAGTGTACCACATGCATAAAATACCCATGGAGACCAGAAGAGGATGTCACATCCTCCAGAACTGGAGCTAGGTACTGTTGTTAATCACCATGTGGGTGCTGGGAACTAAATCTAGGTCCTCTGTAAGAGCAGCCAGTGCTCTTAACTGATGAGACATCTCTCCAGCCCCTTATTTTTATCACTTAAAAATATTTCTTTTTATTATTTTTTAAATTATGTGTTTATGTGTATGTGTCTGTATGTGAGTTTGTATATGAGAGCACAGGTGTCTGTGAAGATCAGAAGACTGTTTTGGATTCCCCCAGAGCTGGAGTTACACATGGTTATGAGCCACCCAAAGTGAGTGCTGGGAAGTGAATTTTACCAGCTGAGCCATCTCTCCAGCCCCTAAAACTAGTTTTTAATAAAGTCAAGTATAATATGATATTCAAAATGATGATTTGGGGGTATGCACAACCAGTTTCTAAAACATCCTAATCAATGGTGGTTGTAACTTTTTGTTTTTTTATTTTCATAATTCTGGTGGTGTGAGGGATCAAACTCATGGCCTGTGAATGCTAGGCAAGTTCTTTACCACTGAGCTATAAGCCTAGTCCACTAGTGACAATGTTTAAATGAAAGCTCTTATGAGGATAATGGTTATTTAAGTAATATTCTTTTATGAAAAAAGACCTCTCTCCTCCTGTTAGACAGCTATGAATATAAGAAAAGCTTTTCTTCCTTCCTGAGATACTAAAAAGAGTATATTTATGTCCAAACAATCCTTCCTATTTGGGGGGACATTCAAACGTTTTGAAAAAAAGGCCATGGATGGTTTTCAATCCCTTCTCATCAATCTTTCAATTGTTGTCTAGCCCTGTGATACCTTGTTAATCCAGAGTCTTGTAAGACTTGTAGCTGCTAAGAGAAGCAAGAACTCAGAGCTCTAGTGTGTGCAGAACTTTTAGACACATGAATTGTGAGGTCTCAACTTTCTGATTTTGGCTCTCTGGACCTGAAAACAATGAATGCACTTAAGGATCCTAGAATTCATTCATTAATTGAGAAACATACATAGTTCAAGGGACATATCTGAGATACCTTGAAAAGAGTAACCACAGTTGTCTAAGTTCACATTTTATTTCCTTAATCCACCTCTGTTAGACTCTCTCTCTACTGCTACTGCTTGGGTCGAGGACTTGTTGCCTGGAAAACCAGAGTAGTCCTTGGTCATTGGGGTGCCCCAAGATTTCCTCTGTCTGATTCCCCCTCCTCCCACTGTTGAGTAGTAGCTCCCTGACAGCACAAAGTCTCACTCCCTTCACTCTTCAGATAACCACTTCTTTCTCAGTAGAGTCTATACCCACTGACATAGGATAAACCCAGCATGGCATTCCCATAACAAGGCATGGCTGCTGAAGACCTCTTCAGCCCAGGCCTCACTCTATCACTTGTGTACAGAGACCCTTCTCCCAGTGTCCTTTGCTCATATCCACAGACCTTTTCAGACTCAAGTTCACAGGCCTTTGGGGCATGCCTGTTACTCCCTCCTGCGGACTCCTCACACTACCTCTGGCCACACTACACGCAACATCTTTGCTCCTGGCTGAATCCCAGGCCAGCACTATGTGCACCAGACTCTGTCCCTGATACCCAAAGCAAGCCCCACTTAGCCAGGGCCCAAGCAGCTTCTGAGACTTCCTGAAAGATTGTTGCTACGGTATTCTTCAAAGCGGTAACATGGAGGGAAAATCCATTCTTACTGTTTTCCTTTCCACTTCTGAAGTTTCCCAAGTACTTGAAAATGACACTGAATAAGTGCTTCCTTACTATGTCAAAACCTTCCCCAAATCTCTCATCTGTTTGTTCAGTTTTAGTGTTGCATAACTGCAGGCTGATGTAGTCTTAGAGGAATCTTGTTATATAATCCCATCCTCCTAACTATGCTTGACTTTTTATAAAGCCTTGACAGGACAGCTAGGAGGCAAGATCTGGACAGCTCTGCACCCTGTGACCTGTCCTGCTCTCATCATCCCAGCGGCTTTTCCAGGATGCTGTGCCTGGTAGCAGCTCAGAAAGGCATACCCCCTATCCCCCTACCTCCTACTGCCTACCCCCTACCTCTAGGCGGCAGTTGTTTAGCAAAGTCTTAGGCTGGGGGCGGGGGAGATGCTAGCCTTGGTCTCTACCAGCCGGGAGTCTCTAAGGACCCCTTTCTGATCAACAGCTCTGCTGGAGCAAAGACTTGCCAAACCAGAGCTCTCATTTTCACTGTTTTTCTAGAACAGCAGGGCTGTTATTACAAGTGTTCTGGAAGGGAGGATAAGGAAATTAAAAATAAGTTCAACAGCATCTTAAAATAGCCTGTAAGATGGGAATTGCCTGACTAGCCAAAGATCCGGACTCATCTGACGCGGCAGGGCGTTTTGAACCACTGTTTGGCAGGTGGTCCACCCGCTGAGCGCCGCCTTTCACTGTGTCCCAGATGGCTAGGGTGGAGGTCTTTGCTGGTCTCCTCCCACCTGGGCCGCAAGAAAGGGAAGGTGGGCTCTGGGCGAGAAGAGAGCCCTAGGAATTCCTGCCAAGGGGCGTCTGTGCTTGACCCTTTAAGACTGCCAACAGTAGGTCACCCGAAGTGGAGACAGTAGGCCTGCACCCAAAGGGAAGGCAGAGGGAGAATACGCAGCTGGGTTTAGCAAGGAGCAAACCGCCCTGGGACCGACTCGATGGGGGACAGGCGGGGTCAGTGAGGACCTGAGGAGCTGAGGTTGGAGAGCCTTGGGTGCAAGGACAGCGGGACTGGAGAGCCAGTGAGCAGGGGGTGGGGCAGAGGCTATGGCTGAGGGGATTCGGCGCGCAGAGGTTGGCGCAGGGCTGCATCCGCGATCCCTGCCGCTCCCGGCGCACTCACTCACCTCGCTGCCCTCGCGCGCGGTGGGTCGGAGTCGGCTGGGGCCGCGCGGGGCCGGCTCCTGGGGTCCCCAGGCCGCGGACTCGGCCAGCAGCTGGTCCAGCAGGCGCAGGGTCTCCTCCCGGCCGTCGGCGGGCGCTGCGGGGCCGGGGTTGCAGCCAGTCTCCTCTTGCGCCGTGGCCCCCGGGGCCTGGTCCACAGTGCCGCCCTCGGAAGCTGACTCTCCTGGAGGCCCCGGGAGGATGTCGGGGCTGCGTCGCCGCCTCAGGACCCGGCCACTCCGGCTGCTCCCGCTGCCCATCGCGCGTCCGCAGCCTGGAGAGCACAGGCCGAGCGC